TATATATAATATGTGTGTGTGTGTGTGTGTGTGTGTATATATATATATCACAAAGTAATACAATCACTTATTTTTATAATATCGTCCAATATCCGATATTGTACCGGTATGTTCCCTATTTTAATCTAATCACTAATTTATACAGGATTGACATTTTGCATATTGATTGCAAAATCAGCATTGCTGCTTGGGAAAAAAAAAAATTTGTTTTGCATGGTCAGTTAACTTTGTAAAGCGTGTTTTGTTTCTATAACACAAGAATCAACAGACCTCTTGCATTCACATGCAGGTACACTCTGAGTCGCTGTCTCTGTAATGTTATTGACTTGGCCTCCATCCACCTGTGACTAGGCTAACCCTCAGCATTAGCAGCAGGGCAGTAGCCCAATGCATCTACCGTTCCCCCCTGCCTGAAGGATCACTTCCTGCTTACGAACCCTGCCTAGTGTGCTGCGGCTACCCAGAAACTGGGGGTTGCAGCCTAGTCAGGCGTGCCATGGCCACAGCTGGGGTTCACCGCTTCACTTGTAATGTAACAAGCATCTGGTGCTTCTTAATGCAGAGAGACTTTGTCTGTCCCTCGCTGTCTCTCTCTCTCTCTCTCTCTCTCTCTCTCATTAACACTCTGAGATGGCCCTCTGGACGTAGGAGGGCTGAATCGCTGCTCTCTTTGGCATACTAGGCTGTGAATGGCCCACATCCAAAGGCTGTTTGTCTCACTCACACCTCGGAGTACAGAACCGCACTCCTCACAGCATGCCAATGAGACCACATCACCTCCTGACTAACTTTACTCAACATGTTTTATTTTTTACTGTGATAACTAACATTAAAGTTGGGAACAGCTTGGATTTTGGCGTATTAGAAGTCTGCAACATTTTGCAGTGCTTTAATGTAGTGCTTATAGTTTTAAGTAACATTTATGCACATACTTACTCAAAATAACCATTTCAGCAACTTGTGTGCAAGTTTTGTTTATTTAATCATATTTGGCATTTCATAACCTCTTAACTGAATATTTTATAAGAACTCATGCATTATTCTGCTGTTTGTTAATGAACTGTGTACATCTTGGAGCTACAATGTTAGTACAGGCATATTTCATAACACAATGGAGATTTATTTAATGCGGATGCATATTGTACATTCTTCACAACAAATCTGTTCCCTCCTTATGGAAAACGTCTGGTACAGACTCTTTATCTCTCTCTGCCTAACAGTTTTTAGGTGACATTTTTGGCTAATTATGTCATTTTTCTTGTTTTAATTTATATAAATTTAATTTCAGGGTTTCTATACACACACATCTTATTTTAGTATAATTGAGATTATATTTATTAATGATTCAGTTTTTTATTTTCTGTTTTCATTTTAATCTTTTTTTTTTTATGTTGTTGTTTTTGTCTTTATATATATGTATGACTATATTTTTATTAATGCTTATTAATGCTAATGCATAGTTAAACTTATGCTAGATGAAATAAAGAAATAACTGTTCCATTGTCACAGATAAATGAGTTCACGTCCAATTTGTGCTGCTGCTCTGCTGTTGTTAGCGTTCAGCTATTCCACATATTTCTCATCTACTTTGAAACAAAACTACACAGCACTGAGCTCTTCATTAGCCGCTTGCTCTGTAGAGCGTTGTTTGTTTAATGCAGTAGTTCTTCGAGGACATTTTTCAGACCATTTTTGTGGTTTCAAAGTCATATAAAGAAGTAAATGTACTCTCTAATTAGCTTAAAATATAATTAATATCTTGTTCCCTGCTACTCGCTGTGTGGGCTGTGAGGTACACTGTGTTTTTGGTCTACATTATAAAGTGAAGTGCTAATTCTGTGTGTTTTGCATAATCTTCAGTAACATCGTCCTGTTATTATCCTCGTTATAGTGCAATAAACAACTCCCACCATTCCATTAAAACCATTTGCTGGGCTTTTGTCTTGTTTTGTTAACTGGGTCATCCTCAGGACGTGGTGCCATTTATGCAAGAACAATTCAGGAATATATATATATATATATATATATACAGTGGTGTGAAAAAGTGTTGGCCCCCTTCCTGATTTCTTATTTTTTTGCATGTTTCACACTCTTTTATGTTACAGATCAGGTCCTATTTAAGAGATTTCTTGATTGCGAACAGGTGTGGCAGTAATCAGGCCTGGGTGTGGCTAGAGAAATTGAACTCAGGTGTGATAAACCACAGTTTTAACAGGGGGGCAAACACTTCTTCACACAGGGCCATGTATTTTTGGATTTTGTTTTCCCTTAATAATAAAAACCTTCATTTAAAAACTGCATGTTGTGTTTACTTGTGTTATCTTTGACTAATATTTAAATTTGTTTGATGATCTGAAACATTAAAGTGTGACAAACATGCAAAAAAATAAGAAATCAGGACGGGGGCCAACACTTTTTCACACACCACTGTATATATATATATATATATATATTCTAAATGACACATGTTTTTTTTTATAATCTGACTTAAAATTATTATTTAATGTTTTAAGCTATCCCTTCAATCACAAAAATATTAAGTCATAGATGCACGCGCACATGGCAGCGGTACGGAGAATGACCCAACAACTGCCACATATTTTCCCTTTCACCCTCAGCTTGTGCTTTCATTCATTTTCCTTTTTATCCCCACTTTACTTTTTCATTTTGAAACTTTGTTTCTGTGTTTGACTTATTTTTCTGCCTCTTGTTTTTCTCTTTTTCTCTCTCTTCCCATTTCCCTTTTTCCTTGTTTCTCTGTTGTCCTGTCGTTGTTCCTGAGCTTGGAAAATGGACGGACCATCACATGCACTCATAACGCAAACGTCCTGGTGCCAATACTCTTCCTCCTTCCCTTTTGTTGTGGTTATTGCGTGAATGTTTGTTTCGGTCTGTGATCTTATGTTGGTCTTTGTGTTTTGTAGTCACTCAGAGTGGTTCTTCAGTCTCCTCCCCTCTAGTGTCCCTTCTGCTCTCTCCGTTATTGCTGCTTTTGCTTCGATAGAGTCGAGGAAATGTCTTCTCCTCATGTTGAGGATCCTCTGCATGATTTGTCTCTGTATCTCTCTAACGTGCTGGGAACACTGAGCCTCATAGACAAGAGTAACTCCAATTGCAACTTAAGGAAATACAAAATAGATTCAGTTTCAGATGACCAAAAGCTTAAAATGACTTTGCTTTTTAATTTATGCCATTAAAAAAGTAACATTTTTATATCGATCGCATCCAGTCTATAGACATCTGCACTGTATTGTGTAAGTAAAGCTGCATTATGTCATTCCAGTGGCATTAGATGGAACTAACTGAACGCTAAGCCCCGCCTTAAAACAATACTTATAATACCTTAGCAGTTCTGTTTGTACTTGTATTACCTTAGCAACTGTTTTAATTTTTTAATGCAAGTTTATGGAGGATCTGTGTTTGGGTATAAAGCAATTTAACAGTATTCTCTTGAGGGGCAGAGCTTAGCGGATAGTTGCAAAAACAATGAAGAAATAATGAAACAGAAGGTCATGAAATAAGTTTTTAGAGACCGAATAATAATAATGTATGGCCTCTGTGTGTTTAGAAACAACAATTACTTTTGCAGTTCCATGTAGTGCTGCTAATGATGCAGAAATGACACGTTTCATCTTAAAGAATGAGAGAGTCGAACACTAAGTTAAAAGCAGAGAGAGAATTTATCTTGTCTGTCTTATATTCTTCTTTTGCTCTATGGATTGTTTGAACTAAAACTGTACCAGTCCTTTGGGATCAAACTTTGTAACAAACCTTTCAGATGTTATTTTATTACTTAAAAGACTTTTTGAGGCTTCTACTTACTGTAAAGTTTGGAAAAACAGCAATGTATTATAGTCATCACTAGGGCTATTGTTCACATGTGACATTATTAAATTCATTTTTATATAATGTTGTAAGTGTCCTTTTTTTAAAATATGCAAAAGTTTAGAGTCTGCCAGTTTTTTTTTTATGTTTTTGAAAAATCTGCATTTATTTAAAAAAATTGCTGTAAAAACAGTAGTATTGTAAAATATGATTAGAATAAAAAAAAAAAAATCTTCAGTGTCACATGATCTTTCAGAAATTATTATTATTATTAATGTTGAAAAAGGAATAGCTTTTTGAAATAGACATTATAAATATCTTTACTGTCACTTTTTATGAATAAAATGTAATTGCAGAATAAAAAGTGTTTATTTATGCATTTATTTATTTTAAAGGGATCATATGATGCTACTAAAAAGAACAGTATTTTGTGTATTTGGTGTAATGAAATGTGTTTATGTGGTTTAAGGTTCAAAAAACACATTATTTTCCACATACTGTACATTATTGTTTCTCCTCTATGCCCCGCCTTTCTGAAAAAATTGAAATCGCATCATATGACCCCTTTAAATCTTACTGACCACAAACTTTTGAACAGTGGTGTATGTGTAATTTGCAATGACACACTAAGACTTTAATCTGTCATAAATAGCATTTATGTTGTGCCAGTTGCCATCATATCATCATGATCTTAACTGTCAATGGTGTTTATGGGTAAGTTTTTTCTTTTCTTTTTTAAACTACTGATGATAAACAAAAAACATAAAGGTTGGAAAAATGCAGGCAAAGATTGTATCAACATTTAGACACCCTCATGTCATTCCAAACCTCTATGACTTATTTTCTTACGCTGATACAAAGGAAGATATTTTGAAGAATGTTGGTAACAGTTTTGGTTCCCATTGACTTCCATTATATGAACACAAATACAGTGGAGTTCAATGGGAACCAAAACTGTTTGGTTGTAAACATTCTTCAAAATATATTCTTTTGTATCAGCTTAATACATTTAGTTTAACATTTTAGAGTGACATGAGGGTAAGTAAATGATGACAGATTTTTCACTTTAAGTCCAAACTTGTGTGTTATATATTCACTGAGTGCACAATTCTGTCTAAAGTTGTTAGCTTTGCCTTGTTGCCTTCACCAATTGTCTTCACTTTGCTGAATCCTGATAGTCTTATGATCTGAAAATAACTCATGCTTGCTTGACTGTTACATTGTATATAATTTGTGCATCTTCAGTTTGGGCTGATGATCCTCCTGCTCTGTCTCTTTGTCTGTATCTCTCCTGTTTCCCCTCAAGACTCCATGGAAGATGGGACGGGCCTGAACACTGGAGTAATTGTTGGTATTCTTATACTGGTGTGTGTGCTGCTCTTGCTGATCGTGGACGCCACCTGCTGCTTCCTCAACAAGTGTGGCATCCTCATGTGCATCTGCGGTAAACCCGGGCAAGGCACCAAGGGCAAAGACATAGAGACGGGCAAAGCTGCCTTTGTGTGAGTATCCACAATGCTCTTGCACTATATATATGATAGACTCAAATAAGCTCATATCACACATCGAGAGCAGTCAAGGGCCCTGCATTGTAAAGCATATGAATGTAAAGCATGAATATTTTCAGTCACATAAGCTGTTCTATTAAAGCCCTCTAACCGCCGTGAAAGAAACAAGAGCTTCTCTTATGCCACGACTTTAGTGACCTCATCAAACTCTACTCATTGCTGTATAATGAGCAGATGTGTGTGCCTTCTCTCTACATGCAGTCAAGATGTGTCTAAAGAGCCCATTGTAGAAGTGAGGACAGAAGAAGAGGCCACGGCCAATCATGATGCAGAAGGCCATCCTGAGCCCAATGAGACCACGCCGCTGACTGAACCAGAGTAAGTTCACTGTTATGTGATAGTACTGTGCTCAATTACTTAATCACATAATCACAGAACATCTGCAATGCCATTAAATCTGTGTTTCCTACACCCGAAATATAACCCTTTGAATCCACCTCCACTACCTATCTTCTATTTTTAAACTTAAAGACAACACGAAACAGCATTGTGCAATGCATTTAAAGCTGCAGTGTGTAATTTCTGTACAGCTAGTCGCACCAAATGTAATTGTGAAAAATAAGAACTGTTTTTCAAACACGTTTCCTTGAACTTATACTGGCACCTGGTGGTGTAAATGTATCATCACAAAGAAGTGCACTATTTGCAATCAGCTGTTATTAGGGTTTTTTTAGTTTTTTTTTTTAAACAAAGAGTGTCCTGGTCTGGTGATCTCAGTAGTTTTTCATCAGAGAATCCTGAAAAAAGTAACATGGTTTCCACAATGTTTCTTGAGCAGCATTTCAGCATATTAAAATGATTTCTGAAGGATCATGTGACACTGAAGATTGGAGTAATGGCTGCTGAAAATTCAACTTTGCCATCACAGAAATAAATTACATTTTTAAAATATATTCAAATTGAAAACAGTTTTTAAAAATTGTTATAATATTTTCACAATATTACTGTTTTACTGTATTTTATCAAATAAATGCAGCCTCTGTGAGTATAAAAGACAAAAAAATGTAAAAATCGTACCTATTTAAAACAGCTTTCGAAACTATTAATAAGTGCATCTTTAAGCATGGGATGACAGTATTATAAAATATTACATGGAGCAGCTATAACATCCATAATGTGATGATACATTCTGAGTCTGACCTGGGTCCTGTTCCCCCTCTCTTTCATTGAATTTTTCTGTTACTTCTCCAATGTCCTATCAAATAAAAGCAAAAAGCCATGACATTTTTTTTTTAAATAAATAAAAAATTGGCTAAAATTTTTTATTGGACATCCATACATCATTTGTTTAAGACCTGAACTTGGTTAAAAAACATTTTATTATTATTATTATTATTATTATTATTATTATTATTCTTTAGAATTATGTGCTCAGGCAGATTGTTCACAATAAGTCTGAGGACATTTATTGAGAAGGTAAACAAATAATTTTGCTTTCATGTTGTCTTTGGCCTCCTGCTCATTTTTCCTACATGCTCTTTAATTTTTCCCCACCATATTTCATATTTTAAATCAAGTACTCCCTCTAGTGACCATTAATTGTAACACCACTCTTGCAATACTGTATTTCAAATGAGTATTGCATATGTGTTGTAACCACATACCTCCAATGATTTGGTGTCTCTCCCTTAATGTCTCCCCTCTGTGTCAACATCACCCGTCTGTGTCTCTGTTCTCTCCCTCTTCTCACAGGCAAGTGACGGAAACTGCCACTGCGGTGGTGGACTTGCCTCTTTCCGTGCCCACTAACTCCGACACAGTCACTCACACCACTGACCTTAGCCAGAGCAGCCCAGTTAGCGAGAGCACCACTCTCACCTCCAGCATCACAGCGCCTCCCTCTGACTCTCCTAACCCCATCCACACGACACCACCCAACAGCAGCACGCCCAAATCTCACACCAAACCCTCCAGCTCATCTCCCCCGTCTTCCGACCCGGCTAATGTTACTCTCCTGGTAGACCTGGGTGATTCCCCAGAACCACAAACTGAGGTTCCTCCAGTGGTCCCTTCAGAAGAACCAGTCCCAGTGCCTCCTCCTTCCCCTTTCAGCGCTGACCAATCAGCTGCTATAAACTCAAAAATCACAGAAAACGAATTAGAGTCGCCCGAGTCTCATGCCACTTTAAATCCCATCAGCCCACAGGGCAGCGTCGCAATCCCCTTAGTGAATCATGAACATGAGATTGATGGAGAGCTCCCACTGGCTCCAGACACAGACGTCCCTCAGGATGGGTCACATGCTGTGGGGACAGCTGGCTCCAGTGGCCCATCTGTTCCAGCACAGGACGAGTATGGATCTCTAGATGTTCTCTCAGTTTGTTGTTTGAGTGTGTTGTGGCCGTTAGATGTTTGTTGTAATTTCACTGCATGTGGTCATCTGAATCAGTGAATGTGCATGCATTCTTTAGATTTACTCATTTAAAGGTTGAGGCGAAAATAAAAATTCAGTAATTTACTCAGCCTCATGTCGTTCCAAACATGAGAATAAAGGGCAGTTCACATCAAGGACAATAACTATAACTATAAATAATCTTATGAGAATAGGGAAGTCTAACAAAGGAACAATATCATTATTAATGTGAATTCACCACGTTGACCAACAGGAATTATCCTAGTTTGAAAGTGACTTCTGCGTGAGCTTTGCTTCATACAACGCAACAATATTCGCAATAGACAATGAACCTTTTCCCCACAAAATTTCTTAAAACCTTATGGAGTCATATTAAGGGTTGTGATAATAAATATACAGTGTACTGTGAAATAGTGGCACTAAATGACTTACATAAGTTGTTTTTGCTGCATGCACGCAAAATCTAACAACGCCACCAGTGTAGTCTGATTCATGAATAAATTATTCTTACAAGCCTGTTTGTAATGAAAAAAATGTACAGTGCGAACAGTGTAGGTCGACTCCCCATTCAAATCACTTTTATGAGCCGTTTTTTTTTTTCTGGTTATGTAGTTCAAAAAGTCGGGTTTTCATCAGTCTAAAACACTGACCTTGTTTATTAACAGTATTAGTAGAACTAATCTATTTCAGACGTAAGTGCATTATACCTAAATGATTCCGAATCAGTGATGTGAATCAGCATTGAAATAATAATTGAATAAAGTCTTAGCGGTACGGTGAGCTGTGAATCGCTGCAACCCAGTGAGCTGAACTTGAGAAATTAGTCCCAATTCGTGAATGAATCATTCAGACCGGTTTTGTCAACCCGACTAACTGAATAATTTATGAAACGGGCAGAAGAAATAAAGTCATACAGGTTTGGAATGACATGAGGGTGAGTAAGTGATGACCGTGTTCATTTTTGGCTGAACTGTCCCTTTAATGGTTTCAATCACAGGAAAATTCTGGATGATGAGAAGAGTATGACTGAAAACGCAGATCTGAAGAAAGTTGTGCCGGGAACTGGAGCAGAACCCAACGCCCTCACGCAAACAAACGCTACTGAAAGTAAAGCATGAGAGGACAAGTGAAGGAGTAAAGGCGTCGTGGTGACCAGGAACGTGTTTGTTTAACAGTGCCCTTAATGAAATTTTCTGAACAAAACGGTGTATCTACAGACAGAAGTTTCACTTACGATGTACTGTATGTATGTATGCATTTTCCTTTTATTTTTGTTGATTTAAGTAAACTTCCAGAAGTTTCTGTATCAGAGTTAAACGGTTATCGAATTCATATAATTCAAAGATATTCTTATAGAGGTTCTTGTGTTTCTTTGTACATTTTTTTTTCTGTCAGACGAATAATAATTATAGCAGGACATCAAGTTATTCAGGAGAATGGTTTATTCAGTAATACACAAACAATTTATTTACAAAGTACATTGTTAAAATGTAAATGATTTCTCCTATTTTTTTATCATGAGTGTTTGAGGGCTAGGTTCGATTTGTTGTTAGTTTTGTATTTTATTATATTTTATCATTATATTTTATTTACACTTAACTGTTTTGCCTGTTGAATGATATCTCATAGAAGTTATGTAAAGACAAAAAAAATCGTAAGATATTTTAACAACGTTATATGACCGAAAGTCTGATAAAGATTTCAAATTAACCATTTGATTTGCTGCTGAAGTCTTTATTAGATCAGTTTTTACAATCATCGTGCGTCTCTAATATTTGGGATTTATACATTAAATCATTCTTCCAACATGCTCCTAAAGCATCAACTTGAACTAAAATATCTGCTCATTTTTATACCTTGTACCTCTGGAGAAATGTTTCAGAATATAAATATAAATATTAGACTATACACGGAGAGCAACTTTTTATTACCGCGAACATCCTTATCCTTGACCCATACTGCATTAAAACACAATGCAACTATTTCAGTTTTTGTGCTTTAACTGTTTTTGCAACAACTGAAAACAAGACACTGTAATGATAAGTGGCAATATTAAGTAGACAAGAAAATACAGTGGCTCTCAATTGTTCTGTGGGTTATCCTTCACTGTTACTGGACGTTTAGGGAATGAAGCAGCAGATAAGACGACTGTGGGGAGATGAGGTGAGACTCGCTGGCAGGGTGATTTTGTTCGTGGTTTTCTCATTCATTCTCATTCTCCCCACTTCATTCATGGACGAGCTCAGCTCTTTTAATGCAGTCATGCTCTTTAAAGTTAAACATCCTCCTCTGAGGGAAGTGTAAGTGGACTGCATGCCGGGCTGTATTTCGCTGTAAGTCTTAATATTTAAATTTTCAGTCACATGTAAATGACTATTAGGAGTTGTGGTTTAATTCCAGTGCTGTTTTCCTCACCAGCTCCATCCTATGAGCACTAATAATCACAGGCTTCCTGCGCGTCTCGGTGAAAACAGCGAGCCATTGCTTTGACGTCACGGTGATGATGATGATTGGAATCCGCACGGCGAGTGTAGTGCGCGTGAAGCGGCTCCTGTGGACCTCAGTATGTTGATGCCTTAATAACAAGTGTTCAATTTACGCGCCAATTGCAGGTAAGTGAAAATAACTTCACCGGTTAAAGCTTAATTGTTCTGCCAGATGAGTCTGGCGGCATAAATGCTTGTTAGTTGGTGAAAGTGCTGCGAGAATGAGTTCATTTTTGCGTTGAGGATGCAACTTGTTTCTTGGCTTTAAAGATACAGCACGCGCCTAAGTGTTCATGGATCCTGCATGCTCATTTATGCTTTCAGAACACGTAGACTTTAAGTGTTATACAAATGATTACGTTTATGAACTGACTGCTGTAATTGTTGCTTAAAACAACTTGTCAATCAGGTGCATTTGCGCTTGTCAGCGCAGTAAAGGCTGCGAATACAGACTGTTGCGCGGAGGAAACACGGCTGTCTTCGCTGTTTTAGATCTGTTGCTTATTCTGTCATATTTAGCAAGCGTAATGTTATCGTAAATTTAATATAGCCAAAGATAGAAAGGTCGATACATAGATAGGCTATGTGGTTCCAATAAACTGTAACTCACGACTTCGGTTTATTTGTGCGATTTGAAGGCTGGAAGATCAGTGTTCAACCTTTTCAGGTTTGTCATGAAGGACGAGGTGCATCCGTACCTTTTTTCTTTTTCTTTTCCTTTTTATCCTTTTTCTTAAATGAAGAGCACAGTAGGCTACCAACGGAAGATTTTTAAGAATAACTGATGCCTTTACTGAAATAAATACAATTCAATCTTGAGGTTTGACATAAGACCAGTAATAAGATGTTTTTTTAAAAATATATTTTCACTATAAATATTAAATGTTAATGACCCATAATAGGTTTGACAGATGTTGCTTTATCCATATTCACACTGTTAATTAGTTATTCATTTTTAATATCAAGGCTAGCATTAAATGGCACCATTTGTTGAGTCCAAATGAGATTAAGTAGAAAACCGTGAATATGGATTTAAAAACCTGACTAAACTGTTTTATCAGTCTGTTTGATTCCAGCAGATTCTGGAGTACGCCTACACCGCCACGCTCCAGGCCAAGCTGGAGGACCTGGATGACCTGCTGTACGCCGCAGAGATTTTAGAGATAGAATACTTGGAGGAGCAATGTCTGAAGATCTTGGAAACCATCCAGGCGTCCGAAGAGAACGACACGGATGTGAACATGAACGAGAACGGCGCAGAGGATGCCGATGACCACAGGATCAAATACCTTAAGAGCGCTTTCATGTCTAAAAAGCATTCCATACAGGACGGCGGCCATCGTCATCGCTTGGCCCTGGTCAGCATGGTCGATAAGAGATCTTCAGAGTCCATCCAACGGGGTCTTTCAACCGTCAGCCCGACTAAAGCAGCTATAGAGGGCCTGATGAGCATGGGACAGTCCGTCCTCCAGGAAAACATGGCCCAGAGTTTCTCAAATAACCTCGGTAACTCATCTCCATTGCTAGATAAAATCAAGACTGAGATGATGCAGGTAGACGAGGACTACCAACATAAAGGCGGCTTCCCCAGGAACGGGGAGGGTGGAGGTGACTCCAGGCAGCGCCGGGACACTCCTGGAACCCCGACCAGAGGTAGCGTCATCACCAGCGCTCGTGAGCTCCACTCCGCCGATAGTTCTGCTGATTCCCAAGGAGACAACACTCAAGCGGGTCTGGTCAATATGGCCAGTCTGGCTGATAGACATTTCGCTTCGCTGTGCTCTATCCCGTCCAACCATAAGAGTGAAAGCATGCTGCCCTTGCCTGTGTCCATGGCCTCGTCGCTACATGTGCCGTCCTCCCTGGCCATGTCGATGGATTTCAGTGCCTATGGGGGGCTCTTCCATCAGAGCTTAATTCAGAGGGAGTTCTTAAGCAAGCTCGGGGATTTCACAGCGAATGTGAAGCATGAGGTCCAAGCCCAGAAAGAAAGATGTGAGGTGTGTGATATGGAGTTGCCTGATGGTGAAGCTGCTGAACAACACAGGTGAGTGAAATTATTTGAGACTTTCCTTTTGGTTTATGTATATTTCTATTTATTTAAGGAATAGAACCCAAAAATGAAATTTTTGTCATCATTTATTCACCTGAATGACTTTCTTTCTTTGGTTCTGTGAACCACAAAAAAAGAAATTTAGTAGAATGTTCATGCTGCTCTTTTCCACAGGGCTCTACGCTTACTTTTCTTCAGTAAGGAGCTTTCTTCTTCTCTAGGAGCACAGTCAAAAAATAAAAAAAAGATCAGTGAACAGTCAAAAAAAAGCACTTTCTGATCAATAACAAAAATTAGCCTTCCCATTACGAGGTGATTTTTGACTCCTTAAAGTGATTTACAGGGGCATTTTTTTATTTATTTTACCTTTGGCATTTTTATTTTATTTTATTGAAAGTATGTCATCTTTTATGACATTAAATTCAAAAAAATATTTTTTTTTTTTTCAAAATTTCTAATTAAAACAATAGAATAAGAAGAACAATTTTCAGATCAAAATGAAATCAGTATTAACAAAATGCATTTGCTCTACAGAAGTGGCACAGAAGAACACAAAAGTGGCATGTATAGGTATATTATTTACAGACATGAGGCTCAGAGGTGGCATGAGTGCAATTAAATTCATAAATTCATGTAGAGGTTAATGATTTAAATATACAATTTTGAATATTTAAATATTAAATGATTTAAATTACTGAAATGATACTTTAAACATTAAAGGCACAATTTTTTTTATTAAAATATCCAAAAACCACTAACAGTGTTATATATTTTGCTCACTTGTGTACTTACAGTGGTGTGAAAAAGTTTTTGCCCCCTTCCTGTTTTTTTAATTGTTCGTGCCTTTAAACTAAAACTGCCAATAGGTGGCGGCAAGTCACTGATTTTATCACTGAATCATTCATTCAGTTGATTCGTCAAACGGCTGATTCATTCAGGAACGAAGCACGTGGCTGTCTATGGCCCTGTCCCAAATGGAACACTTCATGTGCACTTGCGGTCTCACGGACTTACAATGGCCACCACGTGCGCGTGTCCGTTAAGTCCACGAGACCGTAGGGTGTCCCATTTGTCATTTTAGCGTTCAGAAGGGTGCTCGCGAGCTGCATTACGTCACGAAAGTGCGGACTCAGAGGAAGACCGCGAGGGTTTAGGGTGCCATTTGGGACAGGGCCTTTATGAATGGGTAAGTGCATCATTGACTCACTTGACTCATTGACAGATTTGTTTAAAAATGCACGTTCATTCATAAACGAAAAACAGCTGTGTTTGTTTGGAGATGCGCATTATAATCAACGAATCGCTCTCTATACTGCACAGTGAATCTCTTATTTACATATCTCTTATTATTGTCTACTTTTTTTGTTATAATGAGAAGATTCGTGAGCTTGCATAACTCAGCACTGAACAAAACTCCAGTGTTTTGAGCAGTGAGTGGATTGACTGGATTCTGATTAACATTATGTTTAAGGAATCAACAGATATGTCTGTGATACATTACTCAACCCTGCAAAAACACGTTGCAAGTAGAAACCTTTGAAGCTCCCCTGAGCGCAAACACAAATATGCTGATCGGGTCAGTCGCACTGGTGCTCGCACTGTAGAGCCCTGTTCCACAGAATCAAATGATGACAAAAAAAATGATGAAAAGCAAAATAAAAGTAAAATCCATTGAAAATGAACATATTCAAATTCTGTCCATCACAATAAATCACGAGGCACTTAGGAACCAGTGGCGTTTGGCGTCATTGATTAATATATGTATTTAATATGTGTAACTGAGCAAAATTTGGGTCTTTTCCTTGTATAGTTCCAGAAGATTTGAAATATAGTACAGGAATCGTCTTGATACAGAATGATCGAGCACAGTGGTGAAAGTCTTTCATTTAGCGAGTGCGTTTTTGTGTTAAAAAATGTGAGATGCGAGCAGTGAAATGGGAAAAATTGTAGGGTATTGAAGACAAGTTTTTTAAAAGTGAAAAATGCAGCGCTTTTAAAACGCCATGTCATGTGTGAAACATTGCAAAAGATGCGATCACAACTGTAAAAGATGTCCATCTAGCAAAGGTTTACATTAAAAAAAATTTGAAAAGTAGTTCAGTGGGATGCAAAAACACTTTCTGTGTGAACAACTGCTTAATGTGAAAGACATATAGTAGAATTATAGTGCTTTTGTGTTCTTCACAAGAAAGAGAGTCATATGAGTGTACTGTAAAACAAAATGAGGGTGAATAAATGATGACAGATTTTTTTCCTTTTTGGGTGAACTTTCTCTTTAATGAACTTCCTCAGGCTTGTTGAGAGCAGTGCAGAGCAGGTTAGAAACATCTGCCAGCTCTACATACCAAGCCCTTATTTCATTTGTGGAAGAACAAGGTCTTCCTGTGCAGAAAAGAAGGGCTGCTTAGTGCAGCTTGACCCTGATCTTCCCTCCATAACCTCCGGCTCAACACTGTCAAACTGATCAGCCAGGAGCAGCTTTGCTCAGATAGACAGATGGATTAGAAGCACTATTTTTTAAGCTCAAACAACCAATAAATATTCATAAAATCAGGCATGTTTGTGCATTTTTGTTTTTGCACAGAATGTCCTCACACTTTCACTTGGTGAACACCCAACTGGTGTCACGCCATATGTCAAAATAAAATATTTATTGCTGTTCTTGACATATGACATCCATTTTTCGCCAACCAAAGGCCATCATTATTTCAGTTTTATTAGTTTGGGTTTGACTGATGGCCATGCAGTTTAAACTTGGACTCTCAAACAGTAGGTTGAGCTTTATCTGTATTTATCAGAGTGGAAGATAACCCCGCACTGCTCTCCTTAGTCTCTGTGGTAAAGATGGTCTGATAGTGACTTTAGCCTTCTGTCAGACACAGATAAAGAGGCCACACGTTGTGTGTATTGCAGCACACCTGATACTCTTTCATTCATTCCCACAAATGCTGAACCCAGTGACACCGACCTGGGTTTCCTGTCTGAGGCCTGATATACAAATACTATCAGGTGTTCTCCATTCCAGTGTGGCGCTAAAACACATAATGCTTATTTTTTAGGTCTGATCTAATAATGACATAATGTACATATAATGACAATTTTTATGGTGAACATTTTTTTTTAATTTCTGAATTCATGACATTCATTTTGATATTTCATTTGGGACAATTAGAAAAGAAAATAGTAGTAACAAATTGTAGCTTGGTATAATATTTTATTATTATTTCTTACAGTAACAAATTTGAACAAAATTACTTTACTGTTTATTAATATTTGAAAACATTTTGTCTGCCAGATCAACCACATCCAGACAGTAGGTCAGTAGATTAGCCAGTCACTAATATTTGTTCATAAACTCAACTTGCCCTTTTCTGGTTTGTGAACAGTTACAGATGTTAAGATCCGCCGACATCTGACTTGCACACAGGACATTATGAAAGCCCTGGGGCCCCATGGGGTCATTGTGGTCATGGTGAGGCGATCCAATACCAATAACAGTTAAACTTTTGCCCCAATTGCGAGAGGCCCTCAAAGTCGTGAATCTTAACCCAAATGCACCCGCCAAAGCATTCCCAGTCCTCTGGAACACCTTTAGGCACAACTATCCGTTTGAAATAAATGTAGTAGCAGTGGACACACATCACAACAGTCGTGCAACAAACACTCCTCTGGATTAAGACCCCTGCGAGCCGCTGTGCTTGGTCTCGGTCCTGTCATGCATGTCATTTGTGCCCCGTGGTCGAGCCGAGGAATGTGCTGCTTTCCACTGAGTGGATTTAATCTGCCGCTGATGTCTACTCAGACGACTGATGCGTGCAGGGGCTCTGGGGACACAGATCAGCTCCGCTGCTCAGGAATCCCTGGAAGCGGGAGATCCTAGAGCATTCGCATTGGCCCCGCCGCTCACGGCTCTAATTAGATCTTTTGTTATAGAGCAAACAGAGAGAGATTGAGAGACAGGTCAAGAAAGACAGAGGAAATAGAGCTAATAGAGCTACTTCCTGTAGCTTGCAAAGCTGTATATATAAAATTACTTCACTGTATATGATGGCAAAGCTGAATTTTTAGTAGCCATTACAGTCTTCAGTGTCACATGATCCTTCAGAAATCATTCTAATATGCTGATTTGCTGCTCAAGAGACATTTCTTATTATTATCAATGGTGGGAAACAGTTGTGCTGCTTAATATTTTGTGCAAACCATGACACAATGCCATTCAAAAGTTTGGGGTAAGATTAAAAGAATGTCCACTTTTATTCAGCAAGGATGCATTAAATTGTGACAATAAAAGCATTTATGATGTTACAAAAGATATCTATTTGAAATAAATGCTGTTCTTTTGGCAATTCTGTAATACTCCATAGTTCTATATCATTTTAAACGGGAATGAAAATGAGGCTGTAAGGGATAGAAGTACAGTGCAGTCTGTGGATTGGACAGTTGTTTAACAACATGCAATGTAAAAAAAATCCACCTATTTCAACTTAAAAACAGTTCAGTTGCTGTTAATTGTTTTTAAGTATAATCAACTTGATTGTACAAGTCATTTCAACTTACATTACATTAGACATTTCAACTTGCATTAAACAAGTTTAATTTCATATAATTGCTCAACTTATTTTGATGAGTTAAAGTAATGTAAAAACATAAGTTGTATTTGACTTACTGATAATATAAATTTTTACAGTGTACCAGTTCATCTGTCTTTCTGAAAAAAAAAAAAAATATATATATATATATATGTGTGTGTGTGTGTGTGTGTGTAAAGCAGCACACAACAATTTTCAAACGCTGTTAATAATAATAATAAGAATGATTCTTGAGCATCAAATCAGCATATCAGAATAATTTCTGATGGATAATGTGATACTGAAAACTGGAGTAATGATGCTGAAAATTCAGCTTTGATCAAAGGAATAAATTAAATTTTAAAATATATTCAAATAGAAAACAGTTATTTTAAATGGTTAAAAAAACACTGTTTTTGTTCAAAT